TCTTCTCCTTCTGTTCTGATTACCTTCCATGGTGGCATGCTTTCCAAGATCTCCTTCTTCCCGTACAGGAAACCTGCTCTCCCGTCAACTCTCTCAATCCTCTTTCCTCCCCCGTGACCACTACCTTGCCCCCTCTCCCTCCCTCCGTCCCTCCGTCCCTCCGTCCCTCCGTCCCTCCGTCCCTCCACTCTCTCTCTCTCTCTCTCTCTCCCTCCCTCGCTCTCTCCCTCCCCTCCCCCCTCTCTCTCGCTCTCGCTCTCGCTCTCGCTCTCGCTCTCTCTCCCCCTCTCCCCCTCTCTCCCTCTCCCTACCTGATCCGCTGGGGCCACAGAGCTTGTGACCGGAGGCGACGAGGAAGTCGCAGTCGAGGAGGCGAACGTCCAGGGGCATGTGAGGAGCAGACTGGCAGGCGTCCAGCAGAATTTTCGCGCCGACCGCATGAGCAGCAGCGACGATTTCTTGCACGGGGTTGATACACCCGAGCATGTTGGAGACGTGGACGACGGCTACGATCTTGGTCTTGTCGGACAGGATGGAGCTGTTGTGAGATTAGGACAAGGGAGAGGGTACGTTAGGACAGGACAGGGCAGGGCAGGGCAGGAGAGGACAGGAGAGGACAGGACAGGACAAGGAAGTGGAGGCCAGGAGAGGATAAGAGGGGACATGAGGATTGGAAAGGAGAGGGGTGGAGCATGATGGTACCGGAAGTGATCCATATCAAAACCTTGTTGGGAATTGAGCTGAAAGAAATGTCACAGGCGATCATCTCCTCCTCTCCCTCCCTCCTTCTTCTCCATGCCCTCTTCTTCCCCTCTTCCCTCCCCTTCCCCTCCTCCTCTCTGCTTCCCCTCCGCCTTCCCTCCCCCTCTCCCTGCTCCCCTCTCCCTGCTCCCTGCTCCCTGCTCCCTGCTCCCTGCTCCCTGCTCCCTGCTCCTGCTCCCTCCTCCTCCCTCCTCCTCCCTCCTCCTCCCTCCTCCTTCCCTCACCTTAACATGCTTCAACACGGCTCCCGTCTTGCTTGCAACGAGCTGCCATGGGACGATGTTGCTATGATGTTCCATCTCGCTGATGATGATTTCATCCCCTCCTTCAGATTGCTCATACCCCACGAGTACGCGACCAGGTTGATCGCCTCTGTTGCCCCGCTCGTGAACACGATCTCCTCCCTCCTCGCGTTCACAAACTTTGCGACGATCTCGCGCGCTCCCTCGTACATGTCGGTAGCTTTCACAGACAGGGCATGCGACCCTCGGTGAACATTCGAGTTGCTCTCCTCGTAGAACTTCTTCATCGCCTCCAGCACCTGCACCGGCTTCTGGCTCGTTGCCGCGCCTGAGGTGCCGTGAGAGGCAGAGACGGGCAAGCAGAGGAGAGGAAAGGTGTATTGATGTTGGCAGAACGCACACTGACTGAGTTGGTGAGGGGGGGGAGGAGGGAGGAGAAGGAGAAGGGGAGGAAGAGAAAGAGGGAAAGAGGGAAAGAGGGAAAGCAGTGGGCAGAGAGGTGAGTGGGAGGAGCTTACTATCAAGATAGATAAGATCTTTTCCTCCATGCACTTTCTGTTTCAGGATGGGGAAATCTTTCCTAACTTCCTTTCCAAGGCTGAGGCTCGTGGAGCTCGCCTGAGGTAACGGCTCTCAGTTGAAAGAAGAGAAAACAATCATATCATCCATCAGGTCGTGTCAACAATAGCATGACACTCAGAGCAGGAACTGCTCGTCATGCAGAACGCCATGCAAGGTGTCCAAGCACACTAGAGCGCAAACAAGGTAACCCGCATCATGCTGACCTTGAGCTGGTGGTGGATCCCCCGATAGCCCATGGAGCTGGTCAGGTGAGGAGCTCTGAACGTGCAGACTTGTCGGACCCCCAGCCCTGCCACTAGCAGCAGCATCCTCCACGCCCACGCTACTCTTGCCCTCGACATGCGCGATCTGAGCAAGGGGGGGCAAGTTGTTTATATCCTCATAGCGGCCCGGGGGCCGGTCCCCGGGCCCGCGGCCGGCGGCCGGCGGCCAGTGCTACGGGCATGATCTGCCGCGGCGGAGTCTCCGCGGGCCCGGCAGGGGGTGACTCAGACTCAGAGGTCGGTTATTTCACAGTCATGAGTCAAGTTTATTTACAGTACACTGAGACCACCGTGGGACTCAGTGAAGCAGACGGCACGGTACTACCGTAACAATCACGCGACTGATCAGTGCGGTTGGACGGTCGAAGCCTCAGTCTACTCAGTGAGGGGCCGCGGGTCCGTCACTGCTCAGGCTTCACCCAACCAGTTTCAAGAGAGAATTGGTGCTCCTGCAGAGGAAGCAGTCAGTGAGTTGAACCCAACAGTCATCGATAATGATATGTCCTCACCAGGGCAGGAAGACTAGATCGACCTCGTGGTACACGAAGCACATCATGTCGCTTGGCTGGGCGCCATCGATCCTCTGGAGGCAAGGGTGCTCACGGATACAAACCCAGGATTCCAGAGGAGGCTCCATCATCAGCCCCAGCCCTCCCGTTGCCGCCGTTCCATTTCTCAGCAGCTCCAGCATCGCTGCCCAATCCCTTTGCTCAACACACTCCGGGAAGGAGAGCAAAGAAGTATCAACCAAGGGGAGCGGGGTACTTGCAGAGCTGGAATTGACAGCACTGGTGGCGTTGAAGATATCAGCGCTAGGGTCAGCATCGCTGGAATGGTGAGGGGGCAACACAAGGACCGTGTGAATGCCGACAACGATGCGTCCTCCACCATCGTAGAAGTTTGAAGTGTTGGCGAGCGCACGGACGTCCAGTTGTGAAGGAGGGATCAAACTGCAGTCACCGATGTAACTTCTAGCATACTCCTGCCACTGAAATAGCCGTGACGGGTATAATCTTTCACCATTTTGCTCGATGTGCCCTATCGTCCATCCACAGCCCGTGTTTAATATTTTCCAGGCTTCGTCGCCGTTTTTGCGAAAGCAGTGACTGGAATCATCTCTGCCAGGAGAAATACCTTCACCGTGGGCGCAGTTGAAGGCCTCGCAGTACTCCCCTGCCATGTCCGAAGGGAGGCTTGTCGAATCCAACTCAACCCTGATGTGCGGGTAGCATGGAGTCACGTCAGTGGTCACATTCTGACACAACCGTGCTAGTACAGTTGAATCTAATGCCATTGCCAACAGTGGCCAAGAAGCATAATAGCACGTCAATTGATTGAAACCGACGTCAATAGAAGACAGCTGAGTGCAGTTTGAAAATGCATCGGGTGCTATGCTGGACAATTGGTTGTATCTGAGGTCGAGAAGTTGTAGACTACTGAGACCATCGAACAATCCTTGTGAAATATTTGTCAGCTGGTTGTGTGAAAGGTCAAGGTATGTCATGTCTGCAAGTCCGTCGAAGGTTCCTCGTTCGATCTCAGCAATCCCAGCAGCCTTCAACACGCAGGGCCCAGTGCCTGCCAAGCAGCTTCCCGTCCTTTGAAGCAGACCTGCGTCTGATACAGTGAAGGAGCAGTTCCCACACATGACGTTGGTAGCGCCTTCCGTTTGCGTTGTCCAACCCCCGAGTACAAGCAGCGCCATCACTAGCGCCGGAGCTGTCCCTGCCATGCTGGCCAAAGATACTAGTTCCCCGGACCTCCCCTACCATCCGGACTACGTTGGGGTCCCACCCACCACCGTGACGACCACCACCACCACCTGCTGACTCGGACCACCACCACCACCACCACCACCACCACCACCACCACCGTACTGTGACGGTACCGTAGTACACCACCACAACCCGGCTGGTGACCACCCCCGGCACCACCACCGCCACCACCCCCGGCACAACCCCCGGCACCACCCCCGGCACCCTACAGTACGGACAGTCAGCCCTGACGGTCCCCAGCAGCCTTGTAAGGTGTCGTACAATTGACCTGGACTCTCGTCACTACTGACCCGCACCTGGTACTGAATACTTGTTAACTTAACTTTTGAATACTATTGATCACTACTGCCACGGTACCAATGAACCGCACCTGGTACTGAATACTTGTTAACTTAACTTTGAATACTGTTGATCACTACTGCCACGGTACCAATGACCCGCACCTGGTACTGAATATAATTGATTATTGACTACCACACCATGGTACTGAATACCGTAGTACTCAGTGTTGATCACTACTGACCGACCGACTGACACGATGGTACCAATGACCCGCACCTGGTACTGAATATAATTCAGTGATTATTGCTCCTGTTGATCACTACTGACTACGTAAAAGACTACCAGGTACCGGACAATTGTTTACTCAAAACCAGGTACCAATGACCCTCACCTGGTTCGGTTGCCAAGTTGACGCGGCCCGGCGCTGCCGCGGCCCGCCCGGGCCCGTCACGGCGTGCTAGGCCCCTACGGATTGACACTGTACTACCGAAGTACTGGTGACCCGCCCGGCCCCTGGTACGCCGCCCAAGCTCAGCGGCTAGTCAGCTCTTTGTCACCGGCGATCCCAGGGCGCCGTAGCCAGGAACGGGGGCCGACTCCCCGGGCCCGGTCTTCAGTGTGCTACTTGAGAAACTCGGTGACGCCGGGCATCTGAACGTAGGGCCACAGTTTAGCGGCCGAGCAGGGCCACATACAGCTGGCCCTGGGTCACCAGTCCACCCGGTTTTGCGGGGACCGGGCCGGGATCGGATAGTGCAGCTACCAGCCACGAAAGTTCGGAGGTTTTAAAGCTTCATTTTTGAAGTTTGTGAGGTAAGAAGAAGGAGGAGAACGAGAAGACTACAACGTCTGATAGCCTTCTGTGCTGTCTCCGCCTCTCCTGCGGCACAGGAACTGAGTGAGGAGGGGAGGGAAGGAGCACACAAAGGCAGGTAATAACACAGAGGAGGACATCAATGAGCACTGAACAGGTCAAGACAGCAACGTTGGACCAAGTAGGAGCATGGGAGGAGAAGGAGGAAGCCAGCAGCTCACCGTGAGGTGGAGGAAAATCCTCCGACTCCTCCACTGCGGCTCATCAGGGCTTCAGCAAGGTCCCTGCACACCATCAAAGTTCAGCGGCTTCCAGCTCAGCAGCAGCAGCAGCAATTTCACCGAGCCATGTGGATATACTCGATGCCGGGGATAATGTCCTCGCCCCTGAGGTGAGAGACGTTAAGGAGGCAGAGGAGAGAGCAGGAAGGAGGGAGAGGGGGAGAGAGGGGGAGAGAGGGAGAGAGAGGGAGAGGAAGAGAGGGAGAGGGAGAGGAAGAGGGAGAGGGAGAGGGAGAGGGAGAGGGAGAGGGAGAGGGAGAGGGAGAGGGAGAGGGATGGAGGAGGATGGAGGGAGAGGGACAGTGGGAGAACGAGCGGAGAGAAAAAGAGTAGCAGATGGTAGGAGGAAGAGGAATTGAAGAGAGTGACGGCTGGGCACCTTCTCTGCTGTACAGAGTAGTTGTATGCGCATCCCATCACGCAGAAAGCGACGATCTGCAGGGACGATGAGCTCAATGGAGAGAGAAGGGGAGCGGCTCACGAGGAGGAACGAGACCATGACGAACACAGTGAAGGCATTGCTCTTGTCCGATCCAGACTGCAGGTTGAGGATGTCAGCACAGTGAAGGATCTCCTCCTCCTCCTCCTCCTCCTCCTCCTCCTCCTCACCTCTCCCATCCCACACTCATAGGTGAAGGCGAAGTCACAGGGGTAGTACTGGTTCGCAAAGCTGATCTCCACGTGCACGTCGGCGAGGCCTGTCTGGTAGCAGTGGAAGTCCAGCTGGAGCATGAGCATGTCCCGGGTGTCAACCAGCCCTCCTCTCGCTGCCGACCCCGACATGGTCACCGCAAGGATGTGCGGCTGGTCGGTGAAGACGTCGGGCGCATCGACCTCCTGCGAGGCGGGCAGCCCTTGCAGGTCCTCGTCAGCCATCATGAGGTAGAAGACGGCCGAGCTCACGTCCCCAGGGATGACCGCGCGGTCATGCGCCACTGAAGGGATATCCTCGTCCGTCCACCCTGGCATCACCTCCCCGTCCTTGATAACCACCTTGGAGATATCCTCCTCGATCCCCGTCGAAGCGTCGTAAACATCGAAGCCCTTCCTATAGTTTGGAATCCCGACCGGGCAGTTCACGACCATGTGGACTTCTCCCACGCACCCGGTGTCGTACGCCGCACAGACGCATGGGGCAGACTGTAGGTTGCAGGCAGAGTTGGACTGCTCGAGGTAGGAGGGGCAGCCTTGGCAGTGGATGTAAACGTCAGCTTGCCTGGCGTTCGTCTCGCACCCTTGACCCCTGTCTCCGTTCTCGTACATCATGTAGAACGTGTCTGACGGCTGATGGAACTTGATGCTGCCTGCTCCTCCCGTGAAGGTCCCGTAGTCGTGCAGGTTTGAATAGACTCCGTTACACAAATGGACGGTCCACTTGGAGTTCCCATCCCTTGTTGTGGTGTTGGTGAACTGTACCTGAACGCCTGAGAGAGGGCTCCAGTCCCAACTCTCCATGTTAGTCTTAACTTTCGGGCAATCGGCATTAGAGAGGTCTGCAGGACAGAAGAAGAACGTTCAGAAACGCATGAAAACAAACAGAAAGAGTTCAGAACATGCTGTTACCTATACATGAGATCAGGACGAAAATGAAGGCGACTCGCCCGACCAGCATTCTTGATCCCCTGCAGCCCACGCGTCATTATCAAACAATCGATGGCATTCATGGAGCAGAACACGTCCTCAACCCCTTCCACCATCACGACTTATATATTCGTCCCGTGGTCCCCAAACCCCACGTGCATTGCATCAAACTTTGAAGGGAGGGTTGAACATAATCTTTTCACTTGATCGACAGAGATATCCTCACTCTTCATGAAAAGCTGCAGCTCATCCTACCCCAATGCTGATCTGTCATTCTATATCCTTCTCAAAGTCTCACAATCGCGGACCTTGCTTTGAATACTTCTGTGTGGTCACGTTCTCTGATCTTTACGCCTTCTTCATGATTCTCTCCCGTTCTTCTCTTTGCATCGTTATACATCATTCTTTACATTCTTACATCTCTCTCCTCTCTTTTCAGAGCTCCAACTCGTTGTCCGTCCCTCATGAATTTCCCGACTTCCAATCCGCTGCCTGCATCCCATTCTGAGGTTTACACTCCATTCACTGCATACTCTCACTCACTCTACTCCTCATCTTGACCTTTCCTTTATCCTCCTTTCATCCTTTGCCCTTCTCTCCCTCTCTTCCTGCTCGACCCCCCCTCTTCCCTCCCTTGAATCTGTTTTCCTAGCCGTGGCATTTTCGTCGTCATCAATGTCGGTTACAGGAGTGATTTTCCGTTACGCTTGTCCTCAATGCCGGGCGGCCAGCTTCCTTGGCCCGGGCCCGCCCGGTGATTATTGAAATATATATTTATATTCATATTTTTCTTTGGTACCAGAAAGAATCCCCTCGATGTATAAATTTGGTAGAAAGTTTCAATGTGATTGACGATTACTATATAAATTGTTTTCAGTCAACAATTGAATCTGGAACTGATTAAAAAAAGGCTTTTTGCTTGTGCCTCTGAGGAAGAACCCCTGCGATCTTCTGTAAACCAAGGGGTGGGATGCTTTTGTATACTGGGGTCCTGCAACATGAAGGGTGGGTAGCAATTCATCAACCAAATGGTGGGTACTTGATGGATAAAGTAGGGGTACTCAAAGTTTAAATGGGTGTGTGGCTGATCCAGTGGGGTGGGTGTTTTGTGAAAGGGGGTATCCTGTTGTCGAACTTGACTATTGACGTGTTGATTGTTCATAGTCAATTTATTTTGTTTTGAGTACCCCTCCTTTCAAGTTTAATTTACTTTTATAGTACCCCTTCTATCCTCATCTCATCCTTCTTGTGGGTTCTGTAGTCAATTTGCGTTACCCCCGAGGAATGCTGGGGGTGCGGGGAGTGGAAGAAGAAAATCGAGGATGAAGATGCAAGGGGAGGGAGGATGGAGACGAGAGGACGAGTAGCTAAGTTGCAAGAAGCTGATAGCTGTCTAGAGGAGGAGGACGATGCCTGCATGAGGAAGGAAACATCAAAGACAAGATTACTAGACAGTAGAGGAACGAGAGTAGGATCAAAGGGGTGGAAGAAGGCGAGGAAGAAGGGAAAATGATAACTTCAATAGAGCGTATATTCAACAAATGGAAAGAAAGAGACGGTGTCGAACCATGTCTGGCACAGCAACCGTGTTGGAGCTCCTCATTTTTTCTCATTGCTTCATCGCAGGTATTTTACTTCGGACACACTCCCTGGAGGCCAGCCGACACGTGTGCCATTAGTAAGATATGAAGCCGTTTGCAACAGCACTTTCTCATATCTCAAAGAATACTTCTGTTCAGCTCAGAGAGTGGAAATGTCTGATCGAGAACTTTCGGTTTGCTGTGCAGCAGAGTCAATGGAGCAGGAGCGATTATCACGGCCGTCGATATCACAACGCGGGGAGCAGGAGCTTGGTGTCGTTTGCTTCCAGCAAGCATGGATACTACAAGCGCCATCCTCGCTTCGTCCAGTCGACTCCCATGGTGAAGAAGGTATCCAATGAGCGGGACACTTACTACAAGTTGAGAATCCACACTGGGGACCTCAGGGGAGCAGGGACCAACGAGCGCGTATACGTGCGGCTGCATGGGGAGAATGGAAGCTCTGATCAGCTCCCTCTTGCTGTCGAACTGCAGAGAGCCATGACGGTAGAGGCTATCCTGAAAGTGCAAGGTGACCTTGGGATCTTGGAGAGGATGGAGGTTGGCTTCGTGAACGCGGAGGAGGCGGAGAAGAAGCAGGGGGCGGGTTGGCTGCTGGATCGAGTGGAGGTGACGAGGATCGACGGGGAAGGGCGACACTTCCCCAAGGCCGTCGTCTTCCCCTGCCAGCGGTGGATCGGTCAGAGCGAGAGCGGGTCGAGGAGCGGAAAGAGTGTGCAGACCCTCTTCCCGATGGCTACAGAGCAGTCGTATCCCTGGAGATGGGGAGCACATGAGCGCCCGGTATGGAGGAAGCATGCGGGGTCGGGAGACCTCTCCCTTTGCACGGTGGCAGCTGCCGTACCCCATCCTAACAAGGTCGCCAAGGGAGCTCGGGGCTACATTACGAGGGAGTTCGGGTACGCCGGGGAGGATGCGTTCGTCATAGTCAACCAGGGGCCCCTGCAGCTGATCGCGGTGGCGGACGGGGTTGCGAGCTGGTGGGAGCTGGGTATCGATGCCGGGGAGTACTCGAGGCTGCTGCTCTCGTGTGTGAAGGAGACCGCCCTTGAGATCCTGCAGCAGACAATGATGCCCGAGGCCGGGGTGGGGACGGAGGAGATGATGCGTCAGGAGCCAAACAGTGAGCCCAAGTACTTGGATCCCGTCAACCTCCTGCAGCAAGCATGGGACAAGGTCAGGAGGACTCCGAGCGCGGCAGGGTCGTGCACGGCCTGCATCCTGATGCTTGATGGGTCAACCAACACAGTGAGGGCAGCAAACTTGGGTGACTCTGGCTTCATGATCGTCAGGATCATCTCGCTGGAGAGACGTGAGCTACCCTCCTCCCGTCCTCCCTCCGCCACCCAGTCCTCTTCCCTTCTCCCCTCCTCCTCCTTCCCTTGACTTTTTCACTCCTACTTCCCATCCTCACTTCTGCAACAGGCGGGCTCCCCATCCTGAACACCAACGCCTTCAACAACGTCGTTGAAATCGCTCCTGAGAGCGCGAACTTGCCCATCAAGACTGCCAACTACTCGGCTTCAGGGCAGCAGAAGGTGTACGGGAGAACACCTCCTCGTCCCCGCTTCCAGGTGATCTATCGCTCTCCTCCGGGTGAACATGCCCTGGGACGGCCGTATCAGGTTGATGCCAGCTGTGCTCGATGCTGCTACCCTCACACTCCCGCAGCTGGGGCATCATCAGGGGACAGACTCACCAGAGATTGCAGAGAAGATAGAGGTGAAGATGCGTCCTTGACTTGTCTGGTCCTCCCCACCTTGTCCTCTACACTCTTCACACCTTTCCTCATCCCAGCCTTCTCCGGCACTCCTTCCCTTTCTATTCCACCCACTTGAGCTGCTTGCTTATTGTCCTGGCGCTGACGATGCCGCAGCTGGAGGTGAGGGAGGGAGACTTCGTCATCATGGGGACAGACGGACTTTTTGACAACCTCGGTCAGTCGAGCTCCTCCCTAGCCTCCTTTCCTGCTCTCCTTCAAAATTCGTCATCGTCACACAACAACAGGAGAGGACGCGATCGCTGCGAGGATCCTGCAGGCTTACAACATGATGCGCATCGACGGGAAAGTAGCGAGGTGAGCTGAGAAATCCTTCATCCCCCCCTGCTGGGATGACGCTCTTGAATCAACAGGGCAGTCTGCAGCTGGGCCTCGCAGGCTCTCCTCAACGATGCTTTCAATGTGAGTGCTGACGTGGCGGGTGGCGGTGGGGCTGACGCTGAGGAAAGACTTCACTGTCCAAGACCGCCATCACCCCGTTCTCCATAGCTGCTTCCGAGGAGCTGGACCTTGCCTACAGGTACGAGGCGCTGATATCTCCTCGCCTCCGCCGTCTCCCCTCAACCGACTCACTCACTTCATCCTGTCTCTTCTCTCCCACTCACCCCTCTCACTCACTTCATCCTGTCCCTTCTCTCCCACTCAACCCTCTCACTCGCTGCAACTTGGTACTCACTGTGAGGTCAGCGGAGGGAAGATGGATGATATCAGTGTGCTCGTCGGCATGGTAGAGCATCAGGTTCAGGCATAACACGATCCTTGTCTCTTCTCCGCCTTTCAGCCTTTCGCTTCCTCCCCCGTGCCCTCCATAGCTCACATTGACATTGACATACTTTATTACATTCAATTTCCTCTCCTCATTGACACCTATAGCACAAACACCTGCGGGACTGGGATAGAATGGTGGTACTGCTCCCCATGTCCCCCGCTCCTCGACCCCCAAGACGCGCTTCTCCTGAACAAGTCCGAGAAGTGAATCTCACTGTACCAGTTATCGTAGTCCATCGCTGCCTGCATCGTATCCTCATGGTGGTCCTGCGTAGGCTCAACCGCCTCCTGCTGCCTCTGCGCCTGCTCCATCCGCTCCTCGATCTCTCGCTTGATCCCGATCGAGATGTTGGTCAGTAGCACACCGATCATGAGGATGGCGACCCCGATGACAAACATGCTCCATTCCCTGGGCCCGTAGTTTGCCACCTCCTGCCAACACTTGTCAGCCCCGCGGCACCCTCGCTCGCATGCAGCCCTCACGTCGTAGAAGATCGCGCCCGTGATGATGCTTCCGAGGTTCCAGAAGACTGAGACAGACCAAGAGGGTCAGGAACACGGGGAAGAGGAGGAGACAGACCAAGAGGGTCAGGAACACGGGGAAGAGGAGGGGGAGGGGGAGGCGAAGAGGGAGAGGGAAGAGGGAGAGGAGGTAGAGGTAAGACAGGGACGAAAAAGAGAGAGAGAGAGAGAGAGAGAGAGAGAGAGAGAGAGAGAGAGAGAGAGAGAGAGAGAGAGAGAGAGAGAGAGAGAGAGAGAGAGAGAGAGAGAGAGAGAGAGAGAGAGAGAGAGAGAGAGAGAGAGAGAGAGAGAGAGAGAGAGAGAGAGAGAGAGAGAGAGATAGAGAGAGAGAGAGAGAGAGAGAGAGAGAGAGAGAGAGAGAGAAGAGGTGGCGCGCGAGCGCGGGTGGGGGGGTAGGAGGGTCAAGGGAGGACAGAAGTCTGTATTCATGGGCTTCGAGCAACTCACCATAGAAGTTCGGAATGTGGAAGAGAGCGTCGTTGACTGACAGGCTGACGTTGATGAGAACCAGCTGGAGGGGGAGGGAGACCAGGAAGACCATAACGACGAGGACGACAAACGGCTCAGTGAACTGGTTGTCTCCCAACAGGGTGGGGATGAGGAGCCCCGAGAACGCCTGACAGGGCAAGGAGGGTGAGGACAGACCAGCAGGGAAAGGAGTTGGGCACCTTGCCGAAGAGCACGGTATAAGTTGCAACGAAAGAGCCCACGAGACCTGTAGAAGGAAGGTTTCAGTACGTGTCAGTGGCAGGTCCGAGAGTGAGGACTTACAGTACACAGTTCCAATATTCTGCCACACAAACGTCAGCTGAAGGGTGGGAGGGAGTGAAGGGGGCATACCCGAGAAATATCCAGCTCTATTCCATTCCTCTTAGCTTTGACGCGCTTGATCTTGTCCGCAATGATGATAAAAAAGCAAAACCCGATCATGGAAGCAAGCACCAGGAGCATGACCACCACATCGCTCTTGCGGTATTGATTCACCAGCTCCTTGATCGTGAGGTCCTTCACGCAGGTGTTGCTTCCAAAGACAGTCATCGCTATCCCCCCGAAGATCACAACCACAGCCACGTAGTCGAGATAGATTGTGCGCTCCCCTAGAAGGCATCGAGCTAGTAAAGTGTTGATAGCCAAGGTCCAGCTCCCCACCAGAGTCACTACGGATTGCTTTGTTATTCCCAGAGCAACAAAATCCATCGCATTCCCCACAGCAAAAACGACGAAACCCACACCCCAAATCCACGTGAGGAAGAATTCCTTCCACGGGCTCTTCCCTTCCTCCTCAACTTGCGGCATATCAACAATGGTCCCCTGATAGTCCTCATAGTAAATATTAGGAGATCCATGAGCTGAGGAGAGGACCTCTGGCGTTTGTTGCAGTCCTGGCCTCAAGTCATTCGCAGATCGGCAAGGCAGAGAGAGGGGAATATCAGTAATACCGTAGGGCTCAGGATCTTCTACAGAACCACACACTAGTTCACAACTACCTTCCACCAACGAACAATCTTTGATACCGTTTAACCTCCCCTCCCCCTTGTCCACATCAATGATTATTTCAGAGTGATGCGACTTAGAGCTGCTCTTCCGGCTGTCCTGTTCCTCGATATGCGGCAGTGGCTCTTGGGTCCTCGGCTCAATCTCAGTATTCGCGTTATCCCTCTGCTCCTGAGCTCTCTGCGACCTCAAAAAGTGCAACTTCCACATTTGCAGCCCCAGAGCTTGCAGAGATGAACCCACGAGAGCCAGGCAAACTCCGTAGAAGTAACATTCTGGACAGCCTGTGTTCTGGGAGCAGGAGGGCGAGGGAGTTGTTGATTGCATAGAAAATTACAAGCACTCGTGACAAAAATCCGGAAGCTCAAACGGATAGTGCTTCCAGCATAGGACGGGATTCAGTCTTCTTCACGCCATGAGCAGTCAGGCAAGCATAGAGAAGGGTAACGTGCTGCTCTGTCGACAAACCCGTGAGAAGATTGCTTGTCGGGAAGCAGAAGGCCCCTGCGAGAAACACAAATGTTAAGGCAAACGCACCAAAATGGAAAAGCAGGGTCCACGGCTCGGGTGCCCAGCATCTCTGAAGGAGAGGAGCTACAGCTAGTGATAATATGTGGCTGGAGTGAGGAAGAAGAATGTGATAGAGGACTGGAGTGATACTGTGAGAAAGTTCTGGCAGCAGAGATCAAGTTGACTTCAAATCCAACTCAATTGTCACAACGCTTTAGTACATGGGCAGCAGGTCATAGATGCCAATGAACAACAACAGAATGACAAGATGGAAAATGCGATGAAGGATCAAGAAGAAAATGACTGCTCAGATGCAGGACGCTGCTAACATGCAACGAACAAAAGTCGGGGAATAGGTAGGGGATCCGTTAATCGACATAGTGAGGAAGCAAGGAAGATGAGGAGGGATCAAGGAGATGAGGAGGGAGGCAGGAGATGTCAAGAGGGAGAGGGAAGGGAAGGGAGGGAGGGAGTATAGTTGGGGGGTCAAGGTGATGGCGATGCTGAGCATTGGGGGAAGAAACGCTGAGCATAGCGAAAAGATTGGGGAAAAGGTACAGGGGGATTAGAGACGGTAGGGGTACTCGATAGGGGGGTCAGGGGTACCACTTAATTCAAATTCGTTTCAAAAGACCCCAGAAAAAGATAGAGAAAAGAGGGGTACAGATTGCGATGTGGGGTACTAAGAAAGTGGCTGGGGGTAGTTGCAAGAGGCATTGCGAAGATAAGCTAGCTGATTTAATATATATATTTAAACTTTACAATTATTATAGAATAGGGAAAAGTTTTATTATTGGTGAGAGTGTGAAAGGCTGAAACATTTTACCACTGATGTCACTGATTTTCCAAACTTGACACGTACATTTCAAACATATTTCACGGTTTGTTTTTAAAAACTGTCCAGTCAAAGAGCGGTACGGAATTATTGTGCTACCATTCTAACCGAAGATTCCAGTGGGCGATCGATGTCTGGTAGGGACTAAAATATTTTTGTTGGCCCGATGTACAAAATTATATCTTTATAAGTTGTTTTTAAAAACACTTCTAAAAGCAGTCAAGTATTATTCTACTCCCTCCCTTTCTGGGCCCCACGTTTCATACTTGATACACTAGTAGAATATAGCCTACCACCTCTCATACCATTATTTTTCTACCGAGGGCGACTTGATAGCTCAACACCAAACAATTACACCTCTTTTTAAATCGACGCTGAGATCACAGCTGGGTCTTTCCATGGGGGGTGGGGGTGTTTTTGCACGAGGTGGGGGTAGTAAACAAGAAGAGGCCATATCATGACAAGATTCGGAATTTAAAAGGGCTCACGACAAAAGAACATGATGGACCTTGTCAAAAGAGGGTAGGGGTCCTATTGGATGGGGTCAGGGGGTACTCAGTAGCCTTTGTGGAGAAAGGGTACAAGCAGAAATAAGGTTTGGATCGCCAAAAAGTATTATAGTATTTATATATGTTCTAATTGATGGTACAAACAACAATGTTAACAAAAATATTAAAACGGCTCAACGAAGGGCGCGGCACGGGTGGTGGTGCTACAAGTCACGTCCCCTAGTTGGGGACCTGACAGAACGAGGGACGTGACCTGTCATGACTCCATGGGGAAAGGCTCCATGAGGCAGGGATGGAGTACGAGCTGGACAGGGTGAAGACTCTGCCTAGAGCGGAGGAGATGCCGAGGGCGACGAGGGAGGAGCCGGTGACGCTGTCGTCTCTTGCGAACCACCTGGTCCATACCAGCTTGTCGAGGTCGAACGAGTAGAGGTCCGCAATGGTCTTGAAGACCATCCCGCTCGCTAACCCCCTGTCGTGTCCATGGAGGTGTATCTACTCTGAGATGGCCTACAAATGTTTGCAAATGGAGCAGGACTTTACGTGAAGAGCGAGAAGAGGCGAGAGGAGAGATGGAGTAGTGTAGAAAAGAGGCGAAGCAAGGGAGAAGAGCAGAGCAGAGCAGAGGAGGGCCAGGGAAGTGAGCAGGCCAGGGAAAACAACACAGAGATCCGACAGAGTATCAGAAGGTAGCGAGGAGCGGAGCAGAGACAAAAGTAGAGAACAAGGAATGAGATAAGGTATGAAGGGGAAGAAGGCAAGGGGAGGGGAGGGGAGCAGTCAGGGGTAGAGAGACACCTCTCTCTTCCCTCCCTGCTCTCTTCCTGGGAAAGAGGAGAGGGAGAGGCCACAAGGGGGAGGGTCATGGAGGCAAGTCGAGTAGAAATCCATTAGAAAAAAAGACACTCTTATTAAATCATATCTAAACAATTTTTGAAAGTCATGGAATTCTACGATATCCACGTACATCTTCAAGCCTTGTCGTCACCAGGCTCATCGTCAGGCTTGCTCACGTGCTTATTCAAGAACTCGGTGACATCTTCGTCCGTGATTTCCCTCGCATGCAGCGAATGATGCATCCACCAATTCTTGGCTGCGTAGTGTGTCAACTTTACGCTTTTCTTTCCTTCCGCTCGCCCACAGAAGTAGTTGATGATGACAGAGCATTCGGAGGCTGACAACTTCGATGGCTGATTGGTCGCTAGATGACGAATCGTCAGCGCCGTGATCCCTGTCTTGTTGGACTCGATTGCGAACATTTCCAAGTTGAAGTCACTGAGGAACTTGGCTTGCCAGTACAATGCTCCGATCACGGTGATGATGCTTGCAAGAGGGAAGACCGAGGTCGTGAAGTTGAACTGATGGGCTGCGATCGACGAAGAGTCCGTCACAAAGCCCTCACTCGTCGCTGCAGAATCGCCGAGGACAGCAAGAGCTGACACGACGACGAAGAGGAAATATTTCTCCATGAGGAACCCAAGGAACCTCTGACCCAAGTCGTCACACAACACCAACCCGATCAAGATGCAGGCCAGGATGGCAACAATCTGAGACGGGACTGATGTCACCCAAATCTTGAAAAAGAATCCGTCGAACAGCAGCACTACCACTCCTTCTGAGAAGCCGTACATGGCGTACTTGAGAGTGTTCTTCAACAGCTTGAAGTATTGGCGCTTGATATGGTCGATGGTGACAGCTTTTGGCTGTTCGCTGTAGAATGTCGATAGAATCTTGTCGTCAATTTCAACTTTCTTGTCCTTGACGTCAACGTTGGGCCCCATGAGCACAATGTCACCGTTGGGCATCATCACGCCCGCGGTCCCGTCAGCTTGCGAGTTGAGGGTGTAGAGGTTGAAGGTCGTAATGGGATTCCCAAGATTCCTTATGAGTACACAGTTTTCTCGAAGCTGTGAGAACAGTGATGAGATGGTATATTCGTCGTACTTGTCTTCAAACGCTAAGCTGATCAAAGTGACGTTCAAGAGCATCGGAATCGTCGCATAGTCCCCAGCTGGATTGCACAACAGGAGTGCCACACAGCAAACAATCTTCATGTACACTACGCGGTCATTGCCAAGCATACCAGTACAGAGCTGCTCGATAGTTTCGATCGTCAGCGCCTTCTGTGCTATCCCGAACACCACAGCAGCGTTGTCATACGAGCTGTCGCTGTAGAAGCCAGGAGTTGTGATGAGCATGAGCAGAAGCAGCACTATTCGCAGGCTCTCGCGCATGTTGACAATGTCCGACGGAAACATCCTTGACAAGAAGGCTGGATCCATGGTCGGGTCTTTTTTGCTGTGCTCAACCAACTTGGTGTACGCGGGGGTGTTGAACATCTCCTTGGACTCCTTGTAAGTCACTTCCGGGATCACCTTCTTTAGCAGTTGACGCAAACTCCATGTGGGAGAGAAGGAGAAGTCGATTCCTTCCGCCTTCATGTCCAGCACTTCTCCGTTCTCGCCCTTGACCTCCACCAATTTCAGGATGTTGTCTGTGAGATCGATATCCTGGTCAACTTCCTCGGGGAACACTGGGTCTTCATACTCCTTGAGCTCGATCTGCGCCATCTTCCTGTCTTTATCCAACGACAGTGTCCAGTAGAAGTCAAGCACCACCTGGCGGGGCGAGTAGCTCAACTCCGCCTCGTCGAGGAACTCGAAGATCTTTCGCAGCATCACGAGGTTCTCGGTGAAAGACTCTGCGAAGAATGTGAGCCGCCCTTCTTCGTGGTATCCCTTGATCTCCGGGAACTTGTTCTTGTCATGAACGCAAACGAACGGTACGGCGCTTTGCATGGAGTCAAGGAGGAAGTCCGTCTTCTTCGATTTTTGCAACAAGTTGAGCATCTTGATTGTATCAAAGTATGACAAATGCTTCCTCACAGTCTCTGAGATTCAGTGTCTTCGCACTTGATGTCTCCGATCGTCTCCTCCCGAAGTTCTCCTGCTCCTTCTCCTTCCCGAGTACGGCGCCTGCCACGATCCTTCCGTTCCTCGCCCACAATGTACCTTATATTATGCCCTCCAGCCCTTTTCGTGTCCTAGGACTCCGATCTCTATCTTCCTAGTACCTTGTCCTATTACTTGACTTTGATCAGTGATAGGCAACTCATGATCCCATTTCGTGCCTACTTGTGACAGTACCACCCCACCCCACCCTTGCAAGCAATCCAACAATAAAACCACCCCCACCCCCCGGTGCTATCCAACCGAACCCCCAGCTGACGGAATCCCATTGTGTGTCGCTCAGTCCGTTGGACGGTGGCCGCCGGTGGCAGTTACAGGAACCGTTGACCGTTACATCAGCCGTTGAACGCTCCGAGCCACTGCCGGGCGCAGTGGCAGTAACGCGGACAGGGCCCGTACCGATATTTTAACTCAACTTCAATAAGTATAAGGATTTTGACCCTCATACCGTCAGTCAACTGCCGCAATCAGAGCAGCGATCACGAACCGTACGGCTGCTGCAAGAAGAAGAAGTGGAGGAAGAGGAAGAAGAAGAAGAAGAGAGAGGAGGGAGAGGGAGGAGGAGGGAGAGGGAGGAGGAAGACTGAGAGGAGGCGGCAGTCTCTTGACTTGTTCATGCAGGGTGTCAAGCATGCTGAGGGGGTCACAATCTCGTACACGAGAGCGGCAGCAATGTAAGCGGCTTCAGCCTGAAGCTCATCAGCCGATCTCCTCCTCTCCTCCTCTCCTCCTCTCCTCCTCTCCTCCTCTCCTCCTCTCCTCCTCTCCTCCTCCCCTCCTCTCCTCCTCTCCTCCTCTCCTCCTCTCCTCCTCTCCTCCTCTCCTCCTCTCCTCCTCTCCTCCTCTCCTCCTCTCCTCCTCTCCTCACCTCTTGGCAGGTACTTTCGGAATTGGGACGAAGAAGTCTATTATCGAGGAGGAGATGTCGCGGTCTAGTGAGCTGCCAGTCCGATCGAACCGCTAGGGTCGCACACGATGACAGTGATGGCAGGGGCCGCATGACTACATCGACGCCTTCTATCATGGCGTGTACCGCGATGGCAGCAGGAATGTTGTTGGAGGATCGTTCAGCCCCTCGAGAGAGGTAACATCGTGCCCCCTCCTCCTCCCAAGCCTCTGCCCCCTCACCCTCCCTCCTCCGTCTCAACGACACTTGTGCTTCTTTGCTGCTCCGTCGCCGCTCTACGTGACTTGATGTCATCCGAAGATTGGCGCGACCATTTCGGGGACTAGGAAAGCGCCGTCAGGTCTACCCTGCCCTGCTCATCAGCCCGCTGAAGTTGTTCTCAGTTGCTTCATCCCTCCCATCACCCCAGGGAAGGGAGAGGCCTCGGAACTTGACGCATCCTCTGAAGAGTGAGCAGACGTCGAGCGCACCATGGCGGGAGCTGATCGTTGCTTGCAAGGAAACCAGTGCAGGTGGTACGACGTGGATCTACACTCAGGCCGGATCAGCCCAGCGATGAAGGTGATGTGTTGCGAGGGGGAGGACGAGTGAAGGTTGAGGCGACCTGTTGCAGGTGAAGTCCCAGCAACGGCAGCAGGGTGCGGGTCTCAACGGGTCGTTTCTGTGGAGTGAGAAGAAAAGTTCCTGGATAACGCAAACGTCCAAGACAGCCGTCCACAGAAATCTTGACCAACACCCTTGGATACAGACCGACGCCCGTTTCTTCATGGTGTGACATGAACTCGAAGGATGGGTTGCTCATGGTCTCGGTTCTACCCCAAGCTGATGATGATGGAGATGATGATGATGATGATGATGATGATGAGGATGGAGATGATGATGAGGATGATGATGGAGACGAGGATGGAGACGAGGATGGGGACGACATTGCAGAAACTTGTCAAGCTGACGGTGGTTACAGCCGGAGCAATCCCGCAGATCAAACCTTCCGACAATGACGATGAGGTAGGACAAGAAGAAGTCTGGAGATGTTGAGATAAGATCGAGTTGTTCAATGAGCAGATGTGTTGACTCTCGTGACGTGTTTGACTTGTCCTGTACAGATCTAGCACCTCCCTTGGACTCCGTCGTGGAGAGGTGAACAGGAAATCAGAAAGACAAGGGAGGGCTGACTCACTTGCATTCTCGGTGCAGGATGGAAGGCAGGAGGAGATAGAAGAATCTTTCAAGATGTCAACGAGGAGGAGAACATTCAACGTGAGTCGATTCATAGCTTCCTCTCCTCTCTCCTCCCTCCTCCCCCCTCTCTCCTCCTTCCTCCCTCCTCCCTCCTCTCTCCTCCCTCCTCTCTCCTCTCTCCTCCCTCCTCTCTCCTCCCTCCCCTCTCCTCCTTCCTCCCTCCTCCCCCCTCCTCCCCCCTCTCTCCTCTTTCCTCCCCCCTCTCTCCTCTTTCCTCCCTCCTCTTTCCTCTCTCTTCCTCCCCCTCTTTCTCCCTCTCACCTCACTTCACTCACAGCAGGAAGAACTTCAAGGTTGGACAACGTCCTGTCTTTCTCCCGCTTACAATCAGCAGACAGCCTGCGGTACCAGATCGACTCGATTACTTCGTGGCGGGAAGAGGAGGAGGAGGAGGAGGAGCCACTGAATCCTAGTCAAGAAGACTTTCAAGGTGATCGAAAGAGAAGTCGATGGAGGTGGCAAGGGGGGGGGCAGGTGAAAGACAGAAATGAACGAGGAGGGGGAGGAGCAGGAGCAGGAGCAGGAGCAGGAGCAGGAGCAGGATAACAAAATGAGCAGGAGAAACTCGTAGACTGACGAGAGAAGAGCTTGCTAGGACCCAACATCATGAAGGTTTGGACAAGAGATGTTTTTGCTTTCTCCCTTCCTTTCCTCTTCCACCTTCTCCTCCTCCTTGTTCTCCTCTTCCTCTTCCTCCTCCCTCCTCTCCTCCATTCTCCCTTCTTTTCCTTCTGACTGGCTCTTTCTGCAGGAATTCGTCATCCCCCCAAAGAAAATTTCGACCTGCGCTCGTGGGTTGTTCATCTCAAGGCAATGCTTTACCTATGTCCCTGCATCCCACTTTCCCTCCTTCCCTTCCACTCCTCCTCCTCTCTTCTCCTCCTTCTCTCCTCCTCTCCTCCTCTCCTCCTCTCCTCCTCTCCTCCTCTCCTCCTCTCCTCCTCTCCTCCTCTCCTCCTCTCCTCCTCTCCTCCTTCTCTCCCCTCTCCTCCTCTCCTCCTCTCCTCCTCTCCATCGAT